TGTGTGTGTGTGTGTGTGTGTGTGTGTGTGTGTGTGTATATATATATATATATATATATATATGTACACACACACACACACACACACAGTATAAGTTTTAAACAAATAATTTAATACCGGTACACAGTGATGATGATTGTGAAGCTTGGTTGAGGTGGAGGAATCAGAGGGTGGGATATTTCCCAGGGAATGCCTTACTGGTAAATGATGAACTAGCAATTGGCTGAGCCCTCAAGGGTTAACTCTCACAAGCTACAAGGCAGCAGGAATGTAGGAAGGGGAGACAGCATCACAGACAAAGACAGAGACACACACAGTGTGAGAGAGAGAGATGTGCATTTCCCCTTTAACTATTCTGACCCTACTCTTAAGTACACTGCCTTGTTAATTAGATCAGCTTGCTGAGATTGCAGCTGCTGCCAGCAAGCTCCCTCCATCCTGAGCCCTGTTGTGTGTCCCCCCACTCTATGGAAGATGGGGTAAGCGGGGTGCAGGAGCAGAGGGGAGGGGGACACTCTGACAGCCCTTCTCTTCCTCCCCTCTCCCCCCGTACAGCAAGCAGGAGTCTCGGGGAGCAACACCAAGGCAGAGGGCAGGAGCAGCACATTGCAGTGAGTGGAGGGACAGCTGAACTGCCGGCAATTGATAGCCTGCTGGGCAGCTGCTGCACAGGGAACTTAGGGGAGCAGGAAGCTGATAGGGGGGCTGCCGGTCCACCCTGGTTCCAAGCCCCCACCAGCTAGCTGCAACGGGCTGCTTTTCCTGCAAGCAGTGGACAAAGCAGGCGGCTGCCAAACAGGGTGACCAGACGTCCCGATATTTCGGTGTCTGTCCCGCGTCCCGACGGATTTTAGGTCAGGACGCATTTTGTCCCGATATCTGCCGGCAGCACTGGATATCAACTTTTTTCTTTTTTTGCTCAGCCGGCGGGCACCCTTCACTTCCCCCCCCCCCATGTGTCCCGATATTTTCTTCCCCTCATCTGGTCACCCTACTGCCAAACGAGGTTAGAAGGGAGCATTGCACAACTTTAAACGAGTATGTTCCCTTCCCTAATTGATCAGCAACGTAACAACGAAACAACGTTAACCAGGACGACTTTAAGTGAGGAGTTACTGTGTCTTAGTGTTTCTCAGCAAACCAAAACAAACATGTTCAATTCAACAGCACCTAGGGCCTGGGGAAGGGACTTTTATCTTTCTATATTCAGATGTCTAAATGATTTTGGTGTTGACATATATCTGTCTTGAGCCAAATCTAGCTCCCTGCCCTCAAGTGAGCTGACCCCAAAGGGCAGCAGAATTGATGTGCAGGGGGTTGGACAGCAGAAGGTCCATGCAGGGGTGGGGGAAGAAATCTGCACCCTCTGTACACTCCATCCACAGTAGCTCTGAGTTGGCTTTTGGCTGGTGTGGGGCTGCTACAGATCAGCTCCTGCTGGTACTCTGCAGCCTGAAATGGGACAGCATGGGTGGGATTACATGATGTGGTTGCCTGCAATAGTAGGGGATTGGACCCGATGTCTAAGGAAGTCCCTTCCAGTCTTATGTTCTTATGACTCCATCATTTGATGCCTTTGGAGAACTCATACACAATGCCCATGTATTCAGTCTTAGCACAAAGAGGGAGAATTTGGCTCTATATCATTAGCTATGGATGATACCACACTAACACTGCTGCATCTATAATGCAGCTTTGTCACTACAATAAATATTGGGCTGAGATGTTTTGATTATTTAATCATATTTTGCTTCTTCAGCAGTTCAGTACCCAGTCTTTGCCATTATAGACATATCTTCTTTTCTATCAACTGTTTAATAAACTTCCATCATGACTATAAATAATATATCTGTAAATTATGTAACATTTGATATGCTGGTGATATCTCCTCCTGTTGGAGGGAATGGCTTGGAATATTACTAGTACTCTGATCCTGCAATGAGCACCAAGTGAGCAAACCCCTCTATCTGGGTGGAGCTTGTTCATGGATCAGGGGGCATTGATTCTCCTCCCACTGCCACCCTCCTGCATGTGTGAATCAGGAGTAACTCTACCAAAGCCAACGGGGCTACATCATTGTAAGAGAACTATCAGGCCCAATAACTTGGAAGAATATATGCAGATATTTAAAAAGTTTAAAAAAATTTAAAAGGAGAGCTTGCAAGATGACAATAACAAAGAAACAGAAATGCAAATTTTCTATTGTGTCTTGCTTTATATTTATAACAGTCAAACAAATTAATTACCTAGCAATAAAAGCAAGCAGAATTCTTGCTTCATTGCCCGATCAACATAATGCACCTGCTCCCTTCCCTATGATAAGGCTACAGAGATATCATGAAATTGCTTTCTTTCAATGATTAAAAAGCTAAAAGGCAAGTGCCTGTAATAATAATGCCATTTTCTCCCCGCTAATCTAATCTTTGCCCTGTGGAAACTGCTGATGAGAGCTTACTTCTACTCTGAAATTTACATAAAAACTAACCATATCTTGTTTTTGGAAAAGGACTGATCCCCCGAGGTTAGTGGCATGGAGAAACAAGATCTGGAAAATTATTGCAATTGAAATGATAGATAACCTTATATTAGGATCAAACAGAATTTATAATATATGGTTAACGTTTTTGGAGTTTGAAAAAAATAAATATACAGACAATAATATGAGGTTGACCAAACATAAATGTGTCTTTTAAAGGTGGCAAATACAGGGAATAAACAGAAGTGAAGCATAGCACATGATTCCCATCCGAAGGGACATATATAACCTGCTGCTATGATATGATTTTATGATGTGATTTACAGAGGCAAAAAAATAGAAGGAGAAAATTTCTGGAAGGTCTCATGTGTGTAAATTAGAGTAACTATTTACATTTAGATGAAGTGTGCAGCAGACTACAGACTAGACCTTCTAAACTGGTATTCATCTGTCACTGAATTTTTTAAAAGTTTGATTGTAAGTTCTAACAGACTTGTCTACAGATAGTTTGCATTTACCACAGCCAATATTTAAGTATAGCAATTAAATTACATCATACTTTTATTTTATTACAAAAAAGTGAGTGGGTTTAGCAACTGACACACCAAAATAATTTAAGAATGTGAAGTAGTGACTTGATTAGCAATATTTCACAATGCATGCACACAACCACCTCTGAGATCTTATAGGACAGTTTCAGGATGCATGCAGATTTTTCTGTAAAAAAATTTTGCAACTTACTCTTGCTATAAGTAGTTATACAAACACAAGAGAGAAAGCCATAGCTTTTCAGCACTACAAAACAAACCTCAGCATTGTACTCATCTTTCACAGTTTAAAGGAAATGTAGAACATTTGATGAAGGTGTAAACTTGGCAGAAGTATAGACTCATGCAAATTCACTTTCAATGTTTACTATAAATGTTTAACAATGAAATATAAACTACTCAAAAATCTTCTACATACATGGAAAATTAAATCTGTAAGTACCTTGCGAGAGGTGTCTCTTCTACACCTTAAATTGAAATGTCTGTTGCAATTCAGAATGTTGTAAATACCTCATTCACTATATGCTTTGCATTAAAAAAGCTTTTACCATCACCCTGGAGCCTTTTGGCTACATACAAAGAATAGGAAATACAAAATCTTTCTGGCCTCCTGGAAACTTTGCAAATGAGCTTGCACTTCTTGTACTCTGCCCCCTCTGAAGTCTCTGGAAGTGCCAGGTTTGTAAGAAACACAGAATCAGTGTCATAAACATATATAGCTCTCTTTCACTAACCTTCCAAAATAAATTAAATTTAGACATACATTAGATAATGATTGTAAAAACTATACAGTACATTAGAGGGGGAAATTCTCAAAGGAGTTACATCAGAGATTAATTTGCCCCAAAGGCTTTAAAGTGGTCTACATGCTTTAACCTCATTCTTTGCTGCCTTGCTCTTCATGCACTCATTCGCACGTATACAGGTGAGTATAAAATGCCACAAGATCAGAAGGGTAGCCTCTTACACCCTCTTTCCCCAAGTATACATGATTAAAAGGCAGCAAGGCAGCAGCGGTTCATTTCCAAAGCATCTGTTCTGAGCGTTACCAGCAAGCGCTCAAGAAGGGCACGCAAAAACCCTCTGACAATGCAGAAAGCCTGTCCAATTAACTGCAATTCCCACACCACCCCCTTTGCAAACAATTTTGCTGCATTATTTTCCTGCCCCCGTAACCAACTCCAGAGAAAAATGTCAGACACAATCTCTTACAGTGGCATTATTTTAAGCCCTTTCTCTACACATTTTTCTTAGTCTCCCACCCACTGGTATTGTAATCACTATGTTGTCTATGCCCGGTCCTGCTCAGAGCAGGTAGTGCAACAGTGGGAGATTTCAATAAAATCTAATGTAGACAGGGCCCTATATAGCAAAGCTTCACCACCCCCTCCCACAACTTTTCCTGCAGAACAGTTTTCCCCGAGAGCAGGGGAGCTGGAACAATGTGTATAGTGGGGGTGCTGAGAGCCATTGAACCAAACCGTAAACTGTATATAATAGAAACCACTTCAAGCCAGGGGGCGCTGCAGCACCCCCCCGCACCCCTAGTTTCAGCACCTATGCCGGAGAGGCAGGCTGAGCAGTAACTCCTCTTGCTGACTGCACAGGGCCATGCAACAGTTGGAGGCTTGTACTACACTCTGCTAAGGAGGTTCAGGGCAAGCAGCCTGCTGTCCCTAGCGATGGGGAGACACGAACCAGATCGGGGTAAGGAAGAGAGGCGGGGGGACTCTCACGGGGGCTCTGGCCCAGCCACTGAGGGCATATCGGGGGTGGCGTGGCAGACCCGGGCCCCCTGTTCAATGCTGGGAGGGAGCCGGCCGGCTCAGGGTCACCCCATTAAGTCGAAGGGCAGACACCGGCACTCACCTGCCTCCAGCCTGTCAGACCAAGGCTGCAGCCTCCCCAGCATCAGCGTCCCGCGCGGGGCTCGCGCCCTCCAGGGGGCAGGAGAGCGGCCGCCGGGCTCGCTCCGCCGGCGGTGGGAGTCGCGCCGGGACCGGCCCAGGGGAGCTCGCCGCGCTGGAGCCTGAGAACTGCCCCTCCCGCGCAGCGGGGCCAAGGAGGAAGCGGAGCGGGCGCTGCCAGGGAAGAGGAGTCCCCGGGGAGGGGTGTGGGCGGGGAGGCGGCGGCAATCACCGCAGCGGGAGCAAAGGCTGCAGAAGTGGGGCTCCAGCCTCCCCTGGAAGGAGCGCGGGGGAAGCCGCTTCCCTCTGTGCGAGCCAAACCCGGGGAGCCTCTGCCAGGCACCGGCCCAGCAGCCACGTTACTTTGAAAAGCGGCGGGGGGTGGGGAGCGTCTGGCAGCCCCAGTCCCTGTGTACCCAACTGGCCTGGGCCCAAGGTCCAGTGGGAATGTTGGCCGCGCTAGGAGCGCGGGATTTTCCCCTCTCCGCTAATCCTGGCAACGGGAGAGTCCAAGCCAGGGACTCGAAGCAGCCCGACCGTTTTAAAGGAAAGGGCTAGTTCTGAGCTAGTGCTTTTGCACTCTGATTTCTGGCTTGTTTAACATGTCTTTAGGGTGCAACGGTGTAGAAAAGTAAGAATGACATGACCTCACCCTCTCCCTTGGAAGCCTACCCTTATAGGTTGAAAGTTTTTCCTAATATCTAACCTAAAACTTCCTTGCTCCAGATTAAACCCAGGTTCTTGTCTTGCCTTCAATCATGCTTGAGGCTCTCCTGGTGGTTAATCTGCTGAGTTAGAGAGTGTTTTGTAGTTGCTGTTGGTTAGGTGCTTTGGGCAGGTAGCTGCAGTTGGTATTTGCCATTAGAGACAGATCAGTCTAAAACAGCGGTCTGCAATGTTTGGCATGCGGCTCGCCAGGGTGCTTACCCTGGCGAGCCGCGTGCCAGAGGTTGCCAACCCCTGATCTAAAACTAGGTGACTGGGCAACAAAATGGCAGATGAAATTCAATGTTGATAAATGCAAAGTCATGCACATTGGAAAACATAATCCCAACTATGCATATAAAATGATGGGGTCTAAATTAGCTGATACCACTCAAGAAAGAGATCTTGGATTCATTATGGATAGTTCTCTGAAAACATCCACTCAATGTGCAGCGGCAGTCAAAAAAGCGAACAGAATGTTGGGTATCATCAAGAAAGGGATAGGTAATAAGACAGAAAATACGTTGCCGCTATATAAATCCGTGGTACACCCACATTTGAATACTGTGTGCAGATCTGGTTGCCCAATCTCAAAAAAAGATATATTGGAATTGGAAAAGGTTCCAAAAAGGGCAACAAAAATTATTAGGAGTGTGGAACAGCTTCCATATGAGGAGAGATTAATAAGACTGGGACTTTTCAGGTTGGAAAAGAGACGACTAAAGGGGGATATGATGGAGGTCTATAAAATCATGACCGGTGTGGAGAAAGTAAATAAGGAAGTGTTATTTACTCCTCGTAACACAAGAACAAGGGGTCACCAAATGAAATGAATAGACAGCAAGTTTAAACAAACAAAAGGAAGTATTTCTTTACACAAGGCACAGTCAACCTATGGAACTTTTGCCACCCAGAGGATGTTGTGAAGACCAAAACTATAACAGCGTTCAAAAAAGAAACTATATAAATTCATGGAGGATAGGTCCATCAATGACTATTACCCAGGATGGGCAGGGATGGTGTCCTTAGCCTTTGTTTGCCAGAAGCTGGGAATGGGCGACAGGGAATGGATCACTTCATGACTGCCAGTTTTCTTCATTCCCTCTGAAGCACCTGGCCTTGGCCATTGGCGGAAGACAGGATACTAGGCTAGATGGACCTTTGGTCTGATCCAGAATGGCTGTTCTTATACTAGAGGCCATACAGTTGGAGTTGCTACAGCCAGGGTAGAGTAGAACCCTTTAGTCACTAAAATATTATTTAAAATTTAATTATAATTTGAGTTGGAGGACTGATTTGCTCAGGGGATTGGTAATAGATTCCAGCTTGACTAAGCAGATTCTAATTCACTATCAGCTGATGACTGTTCAGTATCTTACTACTCAATTCAGGGTCTAGAAGATAAATATTCATTTAAAGAAAATACTAGTACTGATACCCATATGTGGCAGTTTAACAAAAAGGTCATTGAGAGACCATTTTGGCCCCCATGGAAGGTCCATTCAGCTCAGGGTCATTCTTTGGATGGAGGACTTTAATACCACTTTCCATCAGTTAAGAATCTTTCATCACTTAAAATGTGGTTGTAGTTTGAAAAGTTGTTATATAAAGGACAATGATGAATGGTCCCTGGTTGTCTGTCAATGGCTTCCATGTTAAAGTAGCTCTGTTTAAAAGGGAGAAATGTTGGGTTTATTCCTTTTAACTCTCAGCCATGCAAACCCAAGCTGGCATATGAAACCCAAACTATAGTCTCTGGCTCACGCATCACTCTCCTTTTAGAGAGCCAGTAACTAGAGTGTTTTTAAGAATTGTGTTGACATAGGATACTGAAGTACAGTTCATCTGAATAGGTGAAGTCAAGAGGAAACTTTTGTTGGTTAGAAAAGTAGTGAGGAGTGGCTGGGTGAAATGTAGGGTGTTGGCTTTGACCTTTATAAAGTCTTAAAAGGACTTGGTCTTGGCTTTCTGTGTGACAGAGCAGCAGTTGTGATCAAAGAAGTCTCTTAAGCTACCAG